TGTGTGTGTGTGTGTGTGTGTGTGTGTGTGTGTGCGTGGTTTCTCAATCCTCTATGTACAGTGTGAATACATAGTGGAACCGAGCATAATTCAGCATATTTGTTGGCATAATTGTGGCATAATCAAAAGCATAATTATTTGACGATTGGCCGAGCATTGTCCGCCAATGGCTATTCATTGACACATCTATGAATAGACTATGATCTAGATCCTGTCAAAGTTATCAAGGCAATGACATCATGTGTGCGACGAAAACTAATTCAGTTTTTTTTCACAGTTTTTGTTTTTTCAATGAATGGAATTTTAAATTTTAAATAATAATTTTTATGACCGGCTGGAAGTGTGTTGGTCGGGGTATCCAAGACGTGATCGAGGCAAACGTCAGGTCGTTGAATGTCAGCATCGACATCAGTGCATATTGTGGCAAATGTCACACGTTCTGACCCTACATCATCCTTGGAAATATGTTAGTGGACAACAACGCATACTGCGGTGTAAACCTTTGGTCCGTTCCTTCTTCTATATAAAGTAATTCTATTCTAATCTTGGCTTCAGATCGGACCGGCAATCAGTCATGCTTCTCTTTCCACCATCATCTATTTTACCAACGCCGCCTAGTAGACGCATGGCTGGTGATACTCACGTAGATGGCTGGTGATACTCACGTAGATGGCTGGTACCTGGCTGTAGTGAGGCTGTACATCAGTTAGCGCCTGGTCACGCATAGGCGGACACTCAGCGACGACTTGGCTGCTATTGTGACGTAGGTTTCGTGCCTCCAGGACTCATTGCTCACTGTGTGATCAACCATGCGTAAGCTACGCTACAGTGTATACGTTATGAGTGTGATGTAGCAGTTAGCTATGTGCATATCACCAGACATTCATCCACATGATGCTATACGCAAACAGAGCAGAGTAGGAATGGGTGATTAGGATAATGATGTACATGTATGCAGTCCTGGAATCGAACCTACTGGTAAGAGAGCATTGTCTTGTTGTCCGTGTTTCTATACATGAGTAGAGGGAACAACTAATTTGTGTGTGTGTGTGTGTGTGTGTGTGTGTGTGTGTGTGTGTGTGTGTGTGTGTGTGTGTGTGTGTGCATGTGTGTGTGTGTGTGTGTGTGTAAAAAAATGAAAAAAGACCAAAAAATAGGGATTCACTGGCCAGAAAAACCACTTCATAGCTGTGTGGTGTGGACCAGGCTGAATAGTGGCGGACAATTCTTCAGCCTTGCAAGTTGTTGAATGGTGCAATCCCAGCACAAGCTGCTATGGCTTCTGCTGTAGCATCGCTATCATCGCCTTCGGCGATGGGCGTCCAATGGTCCAATGGTGTGTGTGTGTGTGTGTGTGTGTGTGTGTGTGTGTGTGTGTGTGTGTGTGTGTGTGTGTGTGTGTGTGTGTGTGTGTGTGTGTGTGTGTGTGTGTGTGTGTACATGTGGTAACCAGTGTATGCCGGAGTATGTGGTGTGGCGTGTATGCCGGAGTATGTGGTGTGGCGTGTATGTGTAAAAAAATGAAAAATAGGGATTCACTGGCCAGAATAAGCCACTTCAATCAGCTGTCTGGTGGATACCAGGCTAAAATTAGTGGCGATCAATTCATCAGCCTTGCAAGCTGTTGAATGGTGTAATCCCAGCACAAGTTGCTATGTCTAACATAGCTGTTCGCTATCATCGCTTCCGCGATGGGCAGGTCTGAGGGCTGAGATGTACATGTGTGTGTGTGGGGGGGGGGGGGGGGGTGTGCTTGGGTGTGCGTGTGGTTGGGTCTACAGCCTCTTTTACGGGCAAAAGAAACACAATGATTATTTTTTCCCAAGTGTTCCAAAAAACTTCAACTCAAAATTCTAGAAAGAAGAAAAGGCAAAAACACGCAAAAGAGGCAAAAACAAAACCACAACAGCATAATAATGTATAATACCAAGAGAACATAACCCCCAGAGTGTGCAACGTCTGATCCAGCTCTGCATAGGGTCTTGGTCGAGCGTAATCGGATCTTCTAATGTCATGCGTACACTCCATACCAGCGAAAGGCCGGTCTCGAGGCAGGGCACCATTGTTTTTGATCCGAGAGTACCCGCGACTCCCCGGGTTCCTCTCAGATGTGTACGGTATTATGACGCAAAGATCCGATTACGCTCGACCAAGACCCTATGCAGAGCTGGATCAGGCGTTGCACACTCTGGGGGGTTATGTACTCTTGATAATACTATACCTACTTAGGTAGACAGCACCAAGTTCAACTTCGTGTGGGTGGGTTGGGGGGGGGGGGGTGTGCGTGCGTGTATAATATGTGAGGGAGTTTGTATCAGTGTGTGTGTGTGTGTGTGTGTGTGTGTGTGTGTGTGTGTGTGTGTGTGTGTGTGTGTGTGTGTGTGTGTGTGTGTGTGTGTGTGTGTGTGTGTGTGAGTCTTTCAGCGTCTGCAATGGACTTCGGCACACTCGCGCCTGCACTGTTTAACCTGTACTTCTCTGCAGTAGTTGCGACGTGGCGGACAGCATCTTCAGTTCCTGGTGTTGATTTTCGGTATTGTGTCGGCCGCAAGTTGGTGGGCGACAGAACAGCCAAGTCCCGACTCAGCCCAGCGTGCCTAACGGAATCGCAGTTTGCCGACGATGCAGCTTTGTACACCACGTCGCTCCCCTTTCTCGAGACCATGGCGAACGAGTTCATTGAATGTGCTTCGCAGTGGGGGTTGACGGTCAGCATCCAGAAGACCAAGGCAATGGTAGTGAATCCCCACCATCCCCCGCCGGCATCCGTCATCGTCGGTGACGACGATCACATCGACCTCGTCCAGGAGTTCACCTATCTCGGCAGCACTCTCAGCACGGGTGGCTCCTTGGACAAGGAGGTCACCTCCAGACCGGCCAAGACTTCCCGCGTGTTTGGTAGTCTGCAGAAGCCCATATTCCAGTGCCGTCGCTTATGTGATCACATCAACAGAACAGTATAAAAGGCTGTTGTCATGCCGACGCTGTTTTGCGGGGCAGAGACCTGGGCTGTTAAGGCTACACATCTCCGCCATCTCAACCGCTTCCACCGGTCCTCGATCCGGGCTATACTGGGCGTGTCCAGATCCACTCAGCGATCGGACCACCTCACCAGCAACGAGCTTGCCCGCAGAGCGAGGCTGCCAGCCGACATCAATGTGCTGCTTCGTGAGCATTGTCTGCGCTGGCTTGGGCACGTTGCACGTATGAGCCCGGAGCGGATGCCTCAGCAAGTTCTCTTCAGAGAGTTGCCACCGACTCGACCACGCCATGGACCGAAGAAGCGTTGGCGGGATGTGCTTGTTGACGACCTGCATGACGCGGACATCCCTCAACAACACTGGTTGGCCATGGCACAGGATCGTCCAGCCTGGCGACGGAAGATCTTCAGTGACCGCCTCCCTCCCCCCGGCTCCTCTACTCACCAAGCCGTTCAGCTGCGCATGCGGACGGTCGTTCCGCAGAAGTGGCGACCTCAAGCGTCATCGGCATTTCTACCTGGCTCATCAAGCCTATTATCGCTTCCCGGGCGATGGGGCGTCACAAGGTCACAAGGTGTGTGTGCGTGTGTGTGTGTGTGTGTGTGTGTGTGTGTGTGTGTGTGTGTGTGTGACTTTTAATGTTTTCATATAATGTTTCTCCTGACATGATATGGTCAGTGGCTACGACTGTGTATTGTATACTGATGTACATTATGATTGTGTTGTGCCAGTCTTTGTCACTTACAGTGATGTGTAGAACATGATAGTGACAGTGACTGTGTGACTTGCAATGGGAGTGCTTGCAGGCAGGCTTGGAGCTGCAATGTTTTCTGTGCGTATATCGGAGCATGGATGTTGGCTGTTTGGGTATGGCGGTATGAATGTTGGTTGTGAGTATTGGAGCGTGAATGTTGGATATACAGTGGCGTGTGCATTGGAGCAGAAATGATGACTATACAGTCTACTTGGCTAATAACGACTGCGGATATAACGACAATTCGCGAATAGCGACAGAATTTCCATGCCCAGGGCAAAGCCCAAATCACCTGTAATACATAATTATAATGAGACTTCGGGTATAAGGACACTTCGCAAATAACGACACTTTTCTGATGCCCCGCCGAGTGTCGTTATACGCAAAGTTGACTGTATATCCGAGCATACTATATAATGCACAGTTGTCTAAGACCATGCTGTCTGATGATTGCTTATACAATGTATAAGCTACTTCACTAATAATTATGTTGACTGGGGGCATGGTGCTAGCAGAGCCTGATTGTCGACTGCGCAGTTCTGGTGCAAGAATTCTGCCTGTGTGTAAATACCTATATGTACTTGTAGGAGAATTACGGTTGACTTCACCGTTTGCTGGTATGAATATTGGGTGCACAGAATGGGAGCATGATTATGGAGTTTCAGTGCATGAATGCTGACCTTTGGTCTTAGAGCATGACTGTTTGTAGATGCAGGTATTATGAGCATGAAGGCTTGCTGTTGGTCTTGGACACACTGTCCTGAATACCTGCAGCATGAGTGATGGTTGATGATGATCGTAATGACCAGCTGTTGCTTAGCAACTGATTGTATTGGTAAGTAGTAGTAGTATTCTTGATAGTGGAGAAAGCAAAACAGGCAGATGTCTAATAACAATGGACCCACTGTGTAGGGTGAAGGAGGGGGGGGGGAGACATGGCTAATGGTAAAATAGTGGCGGCGAAATAGAGCAATTCCAGCACAGCTACAGAAACATGGGCGTAAAGCTAAAAGCAGGCAAGAATGTGTTGCAAAGCGCTCGACTTGAAGGTGGCCAGTTTGGTGATGCCTCAGATATCCGCATGGAGGGAATTCCAGAGAACTGCGCCAGCATGTGTCACCAATTTGGTAGAATTTGCATAAGCAGCTGCAGGGAAGATAAGCAGGTTACTGCAGGCTACTGTTGCCTCCTCGAGTTCTTCGTGACGGAAGAGGTCGAAAAAAGTTTCAATCTACATCCTAAAAAATTTAGACAACGCCATATAAAGCAGAGCAAGTTAAGTTGAATGGTAGTGCGCAAGGGACAGACATGTACACGCTCAAGCAGCGTAACAGTGGGGGTCCATGGGGGCACTTTACATACAGCACGCAGTGCGCGCTTGAAGAGCCTTTCCACACGGAGCTCCTGGTGAACAGATAGATATGGGCATAGGCATTGGATGCATACAGAAACTCAGGCAGCACAAAGCATTTGAAGTAGCAGATACGACAGGAGAGGGGTAAAGATGCAGCATGGCGGATTAAAACAGCTATTTTAGCAGAAACCGTGATAGCAACACGTTGAACCATTGTCTGCCAGCACATTGACGTGTCAAAATGTAAGCCTAGATACTTGGCCGATGGTACCACCGGCAGATCTTGACTATTGCATGTCATGCGTAGGGCAAAGGGTGGTGCTCTGTGAGGAGGGATTGGTAGGATTTGTGTTTTCGCTTCATTCAGAATTAAGCCACGCTGTCGCAGCCAGTCAGACAGGTGTTGTATCTGGACGTACTGTTGACGATCGGTCAGGTAGTGGGCCATCCACTGCAGAGCAACGCCGCCTATGCCGAGAGCGTAGAGGTCACTAACTAGAGTCTGATACTGCACTTTGTCGAAGGCTTTCGACATGTCTACAAAAGCGACTCCAGTGTAGAGGCGTGCCACTTGTGCCTGGTAACCATGACTACATAGTGCTGGTGACTAGGGTAGTAAGTGATGGAGAGGTTGATGGTGTGGTTGTCATGGTATTGACTAGACAGTTCATAGCATACCTATCAGATGATCTGACGTGTGCACAGCACATAATTACACCTTGTAAGAAGAATGAGACCCCGATGACGCAGGGCAGTGCATGCTTTAAGCTTGTGTTCATATGTGTTAGATTTGCATACATGTCCTCATAACATGTACGGGTAGTATGTTGTATGGTTAGGAGAAACACTGGGTTGGGAATGCAGATTTTACTGGAAATACAACGTAATCCTGCGGATACCTCTATCACTCGGATGGAGAACGTAGTCAGAATTAAAGGAAAGAAAAAAGGAGCAAGAAACTACAACTTAGTTACGCTATACTGTCCACTAACTCCACCAGTTACTATCCACTAACTCCACCAGTTACTGTACACTAACTCCACCAGTTACTGTACACTAACTCCACCAGTTACTATACACTAACTCCACCAGTTACTGTCCACTAACTCCACCAGTTACTGTACACTAACTCCACCAGTTACTGTCCACTAACTCCACCAGTTACTGTACACTAACTCCACCAGTTACTGTTCACTAACTCCACCAGTTACTGTCCACTAACTCCACCAGTTACTGTACACTAACTCCACCAGTTACTGTACACTAACTCCACCAGTTACTGTACACTAACTCCACCAGTTACTGTCCACTAACTCCACCAGTTACTGTACACTAACTCCACCAGTTACTATACACTAACTCCACCAGTTACTGTCCACTAACTCCACCAGTTACTGTACACTAACTCCACCAGTTACTGTCCACTAACTCCACCAGTTACTGTCCACTAACTCCATCAGTTACTGTACACTAACTCCACCAGTTACTGTACACTCACTCCACCAGTTACTGTACACTAACTCCACCAGTTACTGTACACTAACTCCACCAGTTACTGTTCACTAACTCCACCAGTTACTGTCCACTCACTCCACCAGTTACTGTCCACTAACTCCACCAGTTACTGTACACTAACTCCACCAGTTACTGTACACTAACTCCACCAGTTACTGTCCACTAACTCCACCAGTTACTGTCCACTAACTCCACCAGTTACTGTCCACTAACTTCACCAGTTACTGTACACTAACTCCACCAGTTACTGTCCACTAACTTCACCAGTTACTGTACACTAACTCCACCATTTACTGTACACTAACTCCACCAGTTACTGTTCACTAACTCCACCAGTTACTGTCCACTAACTCCACCAGTTACTGTCCACTAACTCCACCAGTTACTGTCCACTAACCTTATTGCCAATGACCAGAAGACAAAAGTTACAGAAGAATACAGTAGCCTGCAGTAGCGAGAAATCCAGTGTGGTATAAACCAGCACAACTGTGTCTCGGCCGGCGGAGTAGAAAATGCATCTCTAGCCCGCATTCATCTTCTACATAGTGTATGTGCAGACTGTCAGCATGTAAAAGCAAGAGTACATCACTCTTGGTAAAATCCCTGCATCTACTTCACCACCACTTCCTTGTTTAGTAAAAAAAGATGATTCAAACAGGAAAAACAAATTTACATGATAGCTTCACGTTGCATGATCTCATCGAATAGCTGCTTTGCTTCTTCTCCGTGGAGGTAAATATCGGCTGCCAAGAATTCTCACGGCCAACTACCTCAGTGGGACTACCTGACTTCAGCGGCCACTAGTATGGTGGATGCCGTAGAATCGTAGAATCCCGCAGATAAGCCCATTAGTCCTGCGGCCCAAATCTAAAAGACGTTGTTTTGCAAGTCCCGTTTCAGTCTCAAGCAGACAACCTGAGCTTTGCATGGGTGGAAAGACCATGTCCTAGGGATGTCGAAACGGCTTGTTGTCATGTCCAGAACTAGGGCCATAAGCTGGGGAGAACCAATTTTAGGTTTCGTTACGGAAGTCGTTATTTTACGTTATTTTACGACTCCTTGATTGAAATTGGCAGCATGTGATACGATATTTTATTGAAAATTAGTGCAGTCGATGTGAATTTGTTCTTGTATTTGGATGATTCGTAGATCATGGTTGCCCTTTGCCGAGCGTTCATTTCCTATTGATGGTGATTAGAGATGGCACAGATTGATTTGTTGTAAAATTCGACCAAAATCACCCCCAAACATGGATCTTTCGTATGAGAGGATTTCATTTATTGGGACACGATCTCGACAACACCAGCGGAAGAGAGCTAGCACGAGCGAAGCAAAGGACACCGGAAAACGGCAGAGTGATAGCGATCATAAGCTGATCTTAGCAAACGAGCGATATGGAAGATGTTGTAAATAATAGCGCAGTAGTGTATTTGTCATTTGCTGCAGAGTTGAAAAGTACAATTCAAATTCAAATCAATTCAAAAACTTCAATAGTGCGGTCCACTAGCCTTAGCTTTCAGACTCACTGTCCGATTCTCAGTCGGACTTACAGTCCAATTCACTATCGAAACTGCCTTCACCCTCATCATGGCATTGTGTGCATGCGAGCGTGCGCACACACACACGTACACACACCGCACAACACATGACATTGTGCGCGCGCGCGCTCGCACACACACATACACAAACCACACACGCACACACGCACACACACCGCACAACACATGGCATTGTGTGTGCGCGTCCGCGCGCGCGCGCGCACACACTCACACATCACATAGCACGCTAGAGATCAGCAAGAACCTGCTGCGACCGTGGTTGAGATGGCGCTGTAGAAGACACCGCAGCCGCCACTGGTTGCCTCGCACCCGAGGTTATAGTCAAAGCCGTACAAGCCGACACATCTGTACTGGAGGCTGATGTAGTACCCAGAGATGAAACGGATCCACTGGTGTTCACCTGACGCGGCGGAGTAGCGGATCCTTTGAAGCCGAAATGAGTGGGCAACACGACATTGGCGGGGACAAGCCCAGTGGATATCGCAGCGGGCCTATCGTAACTCCTGGCAGTGAGCCTATCGTAATTCCTGGCAGTGGGCCCGTCGTAACTCCTGGCATTGGGCCCGTTCTCTTGCCGGACACTGGGGTGCGCAGTGGACGTGGATGCGGGCAGGAAATCTGCGGCGACCGGCTGGACTGGGATGGTTGGAGCCGGGCCAGGTGCGTTACTAGTATGACTGTTCGGCAATGACTGGGTATTACCGGCCATCGGACCGTTTGCAGACGACACAGACAAGTGGTTGCTCCGTGAAGAGTGCGCCTGTATACCCATGCCACTTACCATACATGTCAATTGCTGAAGGAAACACACAGTTCAAACACAAAACGCAAATGAAACACGCCAATGAAATTCGATCCTTAAACAAGTCAAGTTTGCATGTCCGCGTTATCACGGGCTATACAATTGTGTTTAGAAAACAACCAGTTTATAATTCTGTCTCTTCTTGCTTAAAGTCAGCCTAGAATACTGACGTCAGCTTTGGACATTACTCTGACTCGGACCACAAGCCCTGATTTATTCTGACCTACATGTGTATCGTGTGAAGTAGCGCGAGAGCCAAGCTGGTCGTAATAATACGTGTAACAGCCACGAACGTAATTCAACCAAAGAAGACTACCACATTACATGAGCATGAACACTTGCATTCCATTTAATACATTCCTATGTTGTAGATGTCA